GCCTGATGTGGGGCTTGAACTTACAAACAGTGATATCATGACCTGAGCCAAAGTCAGATACTTCACTGACTGAGCCACCTTGGTGCCCCTAACTAGTATTCTTAGAAGAAGAGATTAGAACACAGACAAACACATGGAGGGAAGACGGTGTGAAGGCACAGGGAGAAGACTACAAGCTAAGAGAAAAGCCTCAGCAGAAACCATCCCTGCTGACACTTAGATCTTGGACTTCTAGCCTCCAGAGCCAGAAGAAAATAAGTATCTATTTTGAGGCCACCCAGTCTGTGGTGCTTGTTCTGGAAGCCCCAGCAAATTAAATAGAGGTAGGCCTCCAGGTTGCATTCAGTCTCTTGCTATTACACCTACACTTTAATAATTAACACTGTTTACATATCAGTGTTATAAATTCTAGAAGTAGAACTATCAGGCCAGAGCAAACCTAGACTAAAATAAAAACTCTCTTATTTATGGAACTATATGAAGGGAATTCAAAAAGTAGATAAATCAATTTTGTTATATATGTTGAGGACTTATTTAGTTAAAAAGAAAACAAACACTAGAAACCAGGGGATAGGGGAAAAAAAGGAAATTCTAGCTCATCGAATGTTAAAATGGAAAGATCTGTAGAAACCATCTAGTTTCAATTCCCTGATATACATAGGAGGAAACAGAGTCCTTACAAGACCACAGTGTGAGAACTGGGGTAACTACATCACCAGCCACACCACCCCAAACCACACCACCCCACCCCACACCACACCACACCCCCAGGCTCTTGATGTCCTGTTGGCATCATTTTCCCCTGTGCTTTAATCAATAACCTAAAGTTTATTTGGGGAATATAAAGAATAATTTTACTGTGGGAAGGTGATTAAGATACTAAAGTGGAACCATTCTAAAATTACGTAATGAAGCCTCTCCTCCAAGAGGATATTTATAGACCCAAATTTCAAGCATCAAAATTTAAAAAGTTGCACTATTGTTCATCAGATTCAAAAGCCAAATTTCTAGGAACAAATGTAACAGCTCATCACTTTGACAATGAACATCATACTTCCATTTGTCAAGCACCTGCTATATATCAAACAACACCAGGTCCCTAAATACAATTTTCTTGATCTTGTTACCACTTAAACTCTCATCTGTGGGTTCTCCTATAAACAGGAGACAGAAAGAGTGCCTACCACATATGTAGGGTTGTCTTTTGGATGAAAAGAGGTAATGCATGTATAGTACTTAGCAATATATCAGGCAACACTTGGTGCTTCCTAAGTGTTAGCTGTTATTATTGATATCTCATTTATTTCTCAACAGAGTGCAGTGAGGTAGGTATTTTTGTTCCTGTTATAGAGATGAGTAAACTAAGACTCAGAAAGTCAAATAACTTGCTGTTGTATTGTTTATAATTTATTCTTATAACTTCATTATAAACAGCATGATGTGGGGCACCTGGGTGGCACAGTTGGCCAAGCATCTGACTTGATTTTGGTTCAAGTCATGATTGCATGGTTCGTGAGTTTGAGCCCCGAATCGGGCTCTGGGCTGACAGCATGGCGCCTGCTTGAGATTCTTTTTCTCCCTCTCTTTGCCCCTTCCCCCACTCAAAATAAATGAATAAACTTTAAACAGCATGATGCATTTGCATATGTGAGATAAATTTCAACCTCCCAGGAGTGGTTGGTTGACACTGAAAGCACTGCATAAGAAACCCCCTCTCTAAAGGTGGCTACGGGCAGGAGCTTCAAATATCATCACCTACACCCTCATCAGAGCTTCTGTTAATTAGTGTAAGACATGTTAGAAACAGGTTTTCATTGGTGAAATGAGTGGCAGGAAGAGGTCTGTAGGATAGAAAATCTGCACAGTCATTTCTACCACTGTAGGAACAAGATACAAGAGGTAGCTCAGCAAACCCAGGACTCCGACACTTACTTCGGGGACCCCAACATCAATGGAAAGCTCTGTCCCTCGGTCCATGAGAAGGTTGGCTGATTCTGACTTCACAATGGTTGAGTTTGCCTTGAGTGAAGCATCAATGCAAAATCTTGTAGGTACACCTAGGGATGTCATCCACCTCATAGGAATGGGGTGCATGACTGCTTTGGTCCAGTTTGCCAGGAATGTCTGTGCGTTGGAGAATTGCTTTCACTGAAACGTAACACTGTGCCCCACGTTATTGTGAGAGGAGACACAGCTTCCACCCACCTCCAAGAGTGTCAGGCCACCGGTGTGGATCCAGGGCAATTGTTCAATGGTTGCACTGCCTTGGATCACACAGATTGTAGCAGAATTGAAATTAGAACCTCAGCCTAGTTGACTCCAAAGTGCGTTCTCAGCCACCTTGTCTTTCTACTTGATAATTGAAATGACTGAGGATACTGATTATTCAGTTCAGGGTATTGCCATATAAAATAGCAGAGGCACCTGGATGTCTCAGCTGGTCAAGCGTCTGACTTAATTTTGGTTCAGGTCATGATCTCTTGGTTTGTGAGATCGAGCCCTGTGTCAGCTTCTATGCTGACAGTGTGAAGCGTGCATGGGATTCTCTCTCTCCCTCTCTCTCTGCCTCTGTCTCAAAATAATAAACTTAAATATGGCATAAAAAAGTATTATAAAGGAGTGATAATTTCCCCAAGATGGGAGTTTCCATCTTAAGATCCCATCAAGGATCTTAAGGGGTCCATGATAAACTTCAGGGTTCCAAGAATTCCTGAAGACTGTTTGCAATAGTTTTGAATTATGTTGACTTTGGAGTCAATTAAAGAACGAGAGAATTTCAAAAGGGTCTGTCTGTGACTCTACTGCCTAGAAATGTTTACTTCTGTTTTAAAAAATTGGTTATAGACCTTTCATGTGCCCTCTAAAGACATTTTTCTAGACATCAGCACATGGATTTTCTTATAATGTACGGTTAGAGGTAAATGGAAGGTGTCATTGTCCTCATTTTGCATAGCATGGAATGGAAGTGCCTGGGAAGCTCAGATGATTGAGGGTGAGGGATCCTGCTGTGTGGTCCCGGCTCCGAAGCTGTTCTGGAAAGAGCCCTTTCCCGGGGTCCATCTTCTCTGGCTTCTAGCTCCTTGGTTACATGATTGATTTGCTAGCCTCTAAATCTTCCCTAAAATTGCCTCCCATGCTTCTTCTGTGCTTCCTGCTCATGCTCTTTGCTTTGCCTGGAAGCTTTTCAGTTCTTCTCACCCTAAGAGGCCCAGCGAGAGCTGACCACTACAGAGCAGCCTCCCTAATGACCCCAGTGGAAAGTGCCCTTCTCTTTCCCTGTACCAAGACAGGACTTAAATGTGTGTGAGTGGGAGAGGGTGAAGCATTAACCATGGACTACCTTGAATTGTTTCTCATATTCTCATTTTAAACTGTTACCCGCATCTTGTGTTTGTCACTGGTGTTTGCCAGGTCATAACCATCTGCAGCTTTCATGGAAAGGTACCAATCAGTGTTGTATTTCTTTTGTAGGCTCTGTCCTTACCTTTTGAGGCAGGTCCTCTGTCTCTCTTAAGGTCATCCTTGTTGTTTCTGAGAGTCCCCAAGGGTGACCCATGTATGCCCTGAACCCTTATCCCCACCTTCTGCATTGATTCTCACCAATGGTGATGGCTCCTGTTGAGGCCGCCATGCTCACAGAGCTCCTGAAACTTGATGCTGAGGATGCCTGCCAAAGCGCAGTAGCACCAGGGCCACCGAAATGAGACTGCTCTGCCTTTTCTGTTCACACTGCTGGCCTGAATTGGCCTCTCAGCTTAGTTGGTGCAGCCCCTGATCTTCACCTTTGTGTTGTTCTTTGTTTCAGGAATCTAGAGCAGTGGGGCTTTGCTCCCAATGGCTTATGGGTTTTTATCTCCATAGCTCTTCACATTTTATTTGCTGTTGGCTCCCCCTAGAATGCAGCTGGAAGTCCATGGAGGACTGATTTTAGGGTATGATCACTGGTCCAAATTATATCATCTTACCTCCTTTCTCTTAGGGTAGATTCTTTGTGGAAGACATCTCGGTAATAAATACCACAGGCAGGCACTGGCTAACACCTCTGTCCCATTACCTCATGGAACACTTGCAATAGACTTATGGAGTTGGTACTTCTCCTATATTTGGATGAGGAAGCCCAAGCCAGAAGGGTGAAATAACTTGCTCAGGTGGCCCAGAAAATTAAGATAGAACCAAGCTTCCTGATTCCTAATCTAGTGATTCTTCCTCAGATCCATGGCTTTCCAGGTTTCCCTCTCTTTTTAAGCCCAATTCTGTAGATTTCCTCCTTCAAATGAAATTGTTTGAGAAGCCCAGCATGTAAAAACAAACATGACTGGAGCTGCTGTAGATGAAAATAAGGAGCATGTGGCTGTTCCTATAGCTCAGCTGCCCCTCCGAGGCAGCTGGGCCCTGAGCTGTGGCTGAGGAGGGACTCCCAGGACTCTGCTCCTGGAGCGCCCAGTCTCACCCAGAACATAGACCAACTCCCTGACCCACCATAAAGGGACAATTCCCACTCATGAAGGATGCAGGTTCATTTTTTTTTTTTTTTTGGGATTTGAGGCTCAGCATTTATTTTTTAAATTATTTTAAAATATTTATTTATAAGAGAGAGTATGAGTGGGGGAGGGGCAGAAAGAGAGGGGGACAGCAGATCCAAAGTGGGTTCGCTCTGACAGCAGTGAGCCTGCTGTGGGGTTCAGACTCACAAACCACGAGATCATGACCTGAGCATAAGTTGGATGTTGAAATGACTGAGCCACCCAGGTGCCCTGAGGCTCAGCCTTTAAGAATGAATGTCTATATGTAATAAAAAAATTAGACAAAAGGGCTTTTAAAATATTAAACTTAAAGAAATACATTAGATACTAGTAAGGAGTATGCTCTAATAGTGGGAATAAAAGCTGTTTAGGGCCGTTTGGTACCACCAACTCATAGAAGATCTTAGCTGTAAACAAGCAGAAGGATGATGCAGTTTCTTGACATAATTAAAACTGGGTAAACCACAATAGGTGTGTTCCTCTGAATAGTTTGCCAAATATTCTTCCAGATCTATTATGGCTACTGTGCAAATGGATTGGCATGAATAGTTATGTCCTTAATGTGTACATCATTAAGAGGTCGATATGTCTTCTCATTTACTGGTAAGTTCTCCAATTCATCTAGAGTCTCTAGACCATCTATTACCTTTCCAAATACTGTGTATTTCATATCCAAATGTGGCTGCTTGCCATAGGTGATGAAGAACTGAGATCCATTGGTGTTTGGGCCATTATTAGCCATCGATACAACACCTTGAACATTGTGCTTAAGATATTCACTATATTCATCCTCAAATTTCCTGCCCCAGATGCTGTTGCCTCCTCTTCCGGTACCTGTTGGATCTCCTGTTTGAACCATGAAACCCTTGATATTTCTATGAAATATACAGCCATTGTAGTAATTACTGGCACAAAGAGCCAAGAAATTCTCAGATGTTTTGGGTGTCCTCTCACAGAAGACTTCTATTTTAATATCACCTACATCTGTATGCAGTGTCACTGACATTTTTCTTTCTGATGGTTTCTGGAAGTATTACTGCTTAATTTCTCATTCTCCATGAGAGAAGTTAGAAAACGAGTCCCTCCCACTTCAGTTAACCCAGCTCTTATTGAAACGACAGATGCCCGCCCTTGCAGATGTTCACGTTTCGAAATTAGCATCTTCGGGCATGCAGGTTCATTTTTACACAGGCCAGTAAGAAATGCAGTTTTTTCCGGGTGGCGATTTATCCGCTTTCTCTCCATGCCACTTCTCTTGAGTCATATCCCCAGTGCTCTGAGTCTTTAATCTTTCACTTCTCCCTCTTCCCCATGAGCTCCTTTAGCTGAGAGCCTTTCATCCTGGCAGGTGATCGCCACAAGCCTTTAAGGAGTAGGAAAGTGATATGGAGAAATAATCAGAGGCCCCAAGGCTGCTTTCGGTGATGTTTGTTCCGTCTCACCCACCCTCCCTCTGAGCTTTGGGTTTTCCATTTAGGCTCATGAATGCCACACCCGGGGCATTCCAGCTGAGCTCTCTGTAGCTGAGCCAGAGTTTGTAGACAGCTGGGGAAAAAATGTGCTGAAGAAGCAAGCCCTCCATGCTGGTATCCTGTTGGGACTTACCCCAGTAGCCTCAGCCGGGCCTCGTAGGACCAGGTGCTGCAGTGGTCTGCCCTGTGTGGTGAATGATGTGGGGGTAGTGAGCAGTACCCAAAGCCTGTAGCCTCTGTTTCCTCCCTGTCCTGAGTTGGGAATGACTGCAGAATGAGCAAGCATCAAAGATACAGGAAAGACTTGCCAAAGTGACAGAGGTATGTATGAGCTGTTTAGGATGATTCATGAGATTTCCACCTGATAAAGGAATGTCAGCCCTTCCTGGATATGCCTTAAGAGATGCTCACCTGTTGAAAACCCTCCCAAATGCCACACACTGCCAACTCCAGCCTGTTCCTGTTTCCAGGTAAGGAGAAACAAGACTATAGAAGGGAAACTGGATTCCAAAAATGACACTTAGGGACATTTTTGTCCTGCTTCAGGGGCAGATCTGGTTTTAAAATGGCAATTGGCCCTGGGGGAGACTGTTCAAGAGTGTGGCCACTTGTCTGCTCTTCCTGGAACTACACATTCCATAGCTCATGGCTATTTCTGTGGCTCCTTTCCAGAAGGCAGCTCCAGGGATTGATGACTAACCACAACTCACATTTCCACAGCAGTTTATAGACCCAGAAGCACTTTCCCACCTACAACAGATAGGGCTCAGTGCAGGCAGCAGAACCCCTCAGTAGTTTAGGCAGAAGGGGATTTAATGTAGAGAATGAGGTGCACAAGGAGCAGGCTTCAGCCCAGGCCTCCAGGAATGACTCCCAGAGCTGGATCTCAGAAATAGCCCACCCAGAGAGCATCCACTTCTTCTTCTTCTTTTTTTTTTTTTACAAATAGTTTATTGTCAAATTAGTTTCCACATAACACTCAGTGCTCATCCCCACAAGTGTCCTCCTCCATGCCCATCCCCCCTCCCCCCCACATCCATCAGTCCTCAGTTTTTGTCAGCATTCAAGAGTCTCTCATGGTTTGCCTCTCTCCCTTTCCCCACCATTTCCACCCTTCTTCTCCCCGTTGTTCCTCCATCAAGTTCCTCCTAATCCTCCTATACGTGCAAACATATGATATTTGTCCTTCTCTGCCTGACTTATTTCGCTCAGCATAACACCTTCAAGGTCCATCCATGTTGCTACACATGGCCAGATTTCATTCTTTCTCATTGCCATGTAGTATTCCATGGTATAGATAAACCACATCTTCTTGATCCATTCATCAGTTGATGGACACTTAGGCTCTTTCCATGTTTTAGCTATTGTGGAGAGTGCTGCTATGAACATTGGGGTACATGTGCTCCTATGCCTCAGCACTCCTGTATCCCTTGGGTAAATTCCTAGCAGTGCTATTGCTGGGTCCTAGGGGAGTTCTATTGTTAGTTTCCTGAGGAACCTCCACACTGTTTTCCAGAGGGGCTGTACCAGTTTATATTCCCACCAACAGTGTAGGAGGATGCCCGTTTCTCCACATCCTCGCCAGCATCTAGAGTTCTCTGATTTGCTCATTTTAGCCACTCTGACTGGCGTGAGGTGGTATCTCAGTGTGGTTTTGATTTGTATTACCCCGATGAGGAGGGATGCTGAGCATTGTTTCATGTGTCTGTGGGCCATCTGGATGTCCTCTTTGGAGAAGTGTCTGTTCATATCTTCTGCCCATTTCTTCACTGGGTTGTTGTTTGTTTTTTGGGTGTGAAGTTTGGTGAGTTCCTTATAGATTCTGGATATTAACCCTTTATCTGATATGTCATTTGCAACTATCTTTTCCCATTCCGTTGGTTGCCTATTAGTTTTCTGGGTTGTTTCCTTTGCTGTGCAGAAGCTTTTAATCTTGTGAGGTCCCAATCGTTTATTTTTGCTCTTGATTCCCGAGAGCATCCACTTCTATCACAACCAGGAAGCCATTACCAGAAAGGCTGGCTCCAAGAATACACTGCCTTCACTGTAAAGGGGGGATCACAGTTGTGGGGTGCATGGCCATGGGACTCCAGTTTTGATCTGTGCTGGCAGAATGTATACCTCATGCTAACCCCTCTCCCTTCTTAACTTTTAAAAATGCGAGCTGTGTGCAAGGCATCTGATTTGTGGAACCCAAGTCACATGTAGAAGTGTAGCTGCAAGGGAGTCTGGAAACTAGGTTTTATTTAGCTTTGTAGGACAGGAAGGCACATAGAAAATTGGAATAGATGTCTATTTTGTATCTTCTATCCTATACTATATCTAACAGGAAGTCTGAAAAGTGATGAGAGAAATGGTAGCTTCACATAGCATGTGAAGAGAGGGGCATGATGGTTAGAGAGAGAATCACAGGGAGAGGAGCAAGTGAAGTTGGTGTTGAGGTCTCAAGAGTACAAGGGTCTCAGGAATATAAGGTGTTGAGGGACAGAGCAGGAACAGCATTCGGGGCAGGAGGAATGACATGCAGAAAAATTTGGAGCCTAGAGGGAGTGTGCTGCAAATGAAGAACAGAACTGAAAGGAGGGGGTGTGTGCGTCTGGGACAGGGAGAGGAGGGAGTGGAATGAGTTTGGAGAGGCACAGGGACAGACAGCCCAGCCCTGGAGGCCCCATTGAGGAATTTGGCTTTTGTCCTAAGAGCAATGGGAAGCCACTCAACAGTTTTCCGGAGGGGAAGGTTAGTGGAGGTGTGCGCAGGACATGGTCATATTTAATTTTGAAAAGGTCACTGGCTGCAGTGTGTTCCCAATGTCATGCCTGTATTCACTTGCTATGGTCCATGGTTTGCCATCAAGCTGCCACTCTCCTGTTTTCCTAAGACGGTTCATTTCTGCATCAATCCCATTCTTCTATTCCAGGCAATAGGAGAAGAAACCAACAGCAAGATGTCTACAAACCTGGGAAGGTATTTATAATTTTTTTTTAACATCTGTACAGATAAAAGACTCTTTTATTTGTACATTCATTCATTCCATTTGTTGCTGCTCTAAGATGTTAGGAAGGGCATTCGTTTGAAATGCTTCTGCAAGTTGTTCTGTGAGTGGTGTTCAGCAGGCGAGGCCCCTGAGGTGCTTCTGGCCCTCTAGAAATGGGTGAGTGGTGGGCTGCCGTGGCTCCTTGGCAACAATAGCTTGGTGGGGGGTGGGTCTCCTCTCACTGATCAGCAACTCAGGGGCTGGCCAGCATTTGGTAGAGACCTGCTTCAGAGATCAAAGCACAGAAATTAAAAAAACTGTCAGATGTGACTGTTCTCCAAAAAGCCACTGGTTTTAAAACAACTGGCCCCTGAGTCTCAACTTTCTCCAGAGCCTTTCTTCCCACAAGCACCCAGCTCTGCTAGCACCTTCCTCCAAGGGGTATGGCTGCGGGGTACAGCAGGTACAGTCTCAGCCGGACGGAGACCTGCGCTCTGAGCTCCAGCTTCCTAACCATCTTGTGAGCTCCTTGCAGGAAGGTATCTCACCTTTCACATGTTGTTGTATTTCTTACAACATTCGTCTTGGTCAGTTCATGGTCTGAATTCAAAATAGTCATCAATCTGGAGATATTTGACTTTCTTCGGGTCGTGGCTGTGGTGTGGGGTGTCCATGGACCCCAGGTTAAAAACCTTTAAACCCTTAGTAGGGCTTCTTTCAGAAGTGAGCTTCTTTCCAATTCTCCCAAAGCTTATACCCTTGAGACCAGTGGCTGGGCGCAGACAGTGTGCTTTGTGAGATGCCCCCTGGAAGGCAGCTATGCTCGTCACTATACCACCGACGCTGTGAGATTCCCCTGGAGGGCAGCCAGGCTCACCACTATACCAGCAGTGCTGTGAGATTGCCCCTGGGATGCTGACTGGAAACAGCCTCAGTCCTTGTGGACATGGCCTCCCTCTTCCTGAAGAGCCGTGCAGAGCGAGCTTCAGTCTGCAGGTGCATTTTGAGGCAGAATATTAACAACCATTTAAATGTGTGGGCCAGAGACACTGATGTTTATTGCTTGCCCTGCTTTTCTTTCATTGCTTTCCCCCGAAAATTGCCAGGGTAGGAGCCCAATAGACATGATGTGGCTCCCGTGCTGGCTGTCTTTCAAAGCCACTGTTACCCACCTGCGGAAAACAATGGATTGTAGCAAACTGGTGTCTCTTTGTAGGAGTGACCAGAATGTGTTGGGTTTGGTACCCTGAAAGCTTACTTCTTTGCTCATTTTGAATACCCCTTGGTCATCTCCGCTTCCCCATCTATGGCTACCTAACAGAAATAGAAACTTTAGAGAATCATTTCTATTTGTATTCAGGGGATTCTGAGAAAAAGACCCCAAGAGGCCAAAGATAACAATGAAGTGATAAATGACTAATGAAGTAAAACATTATGGACAGATAGTTTAGCCAAATTCACAGGGACAGAAAGTAGAATGGTGGTTAGCAGGGCTGAGGGGAGGAGAGAATGGAGAGTTGGTGTTTAATGGGTACAGAGTTTCACTTTGGGAAGATGAAAAAGTTCTGAAGACGGATGGCGGTGACTTCTGCGCAATAATGTGAATGTATTCAATGTCACTGAATTGACTAAATGCACTAAAAATGATTGAAATGAAATGATAAATTTTATGTTATGCGTGTTTTGCCACAATTAAAAAAATTAAATAAAACCATTT